TATTACATTCAAAATATAAGAAATTTTTTTGTTACGGAATTTGGAATTTCTTAGTTTTTCTGTCTCTGATTTTTTTTTTTAATAAGGCTTTTTTTTTTTTTTTTTTTGGTCTTTTTCATTTTTATCGGTCCCAGGGATTGAACTCATGACCGCCTGCTTGCAAGGCAGGTGCTTATGCCACTGAGCTAAATCCCCAGCCCCCTGTCTCTGATATTTGAAGAAAGTTCTCCTGTATCTCTTACTTTCCTCTAGATTTTTTTCTGACTAAATCTTCTTTTTATGAAACTTTCCATACTCAGTTTGAAAATGGTTAATTTATGAAGGTGCTTTTACTGTTTGGCCTACTTTGGTTTTTGATGACAGGGAATACAGGCCCATTCTAGGTTAAGTAAGAGAGAGAGAGTTGTACGTATAGCTCAAATATTTGCTGACAGATACTATAATATTGCCTGAATTTATTGGAAATAAATCCTGAATAGCTACATTGGCTTTTCTTATGACATTTCTGTTCATTTCTGCATGTCTCTATTGTTCTGTTTCTATGGACAAATCTTTGCCTTCTTAGAATATCTCCTGTTTTATGAGTTTAGTTTTACATGTGACCCCCCTATGGTTGCCTGGGTTCTCTTCAGCATATGTTGGTATACTTTTTAATTATTTTTTTCTAATAGAAGTTCCTTGGTATAGGAATATATATAGGATATCTCTTAAGAGTAGCTCACCCTGGTCATGTCTTTTGCCAGTTTATAATGCCCTTACAAATCTAATAGTCTCATTCATTTATTCAGTAAGTAGTTTATTAAGTACCTATTATAAACCTGACATTATTGTAGGTAGGTAGTTTATCACTGAACAAAGCAAGCCAAATCTCTGGTATCATTCTGGTGAGACAGCCAAGTAACTGTAATCGTTGAATGAATTACTTAATAATTTCTCTGGTAAAAAAAAAGGTGGTATGATCATGAGCTCCTAAACATGCTTCTTGCCCTTCAATAAAAGAGAATGGAGGCAGTTGGACATCATAAGAAAAGTCTGGTATACATAACCACTGATTTAGTTGTTTCTATCATCAGCTTGATAGAAAAAGATGATGTAGTGAATGATGTACCAAGTAGCCTTTCTTAAAATTTGAAATAGTTTCTACATCTGCATTCTAAGAATATTAATTCTTGTCACTTGGTATAATACCATGTATGCAGTTTTGGATAAAACAGAATATTCTTTTTTTCTTTCTTTCTAATTCCTATTCATTCTTTAGTTTCTTTTCAGTTGTTTTTTTTTTTCCCTTATAGTTACTGGAAACTCCACACTTATATCATAGTATTTAACAACTCCAGAAAATATTGTTTGGCTTCACTGGGGTCATTTGTTGAGGCTAAAATAGCATGACTGACTAGGGTAGCCCAGCAGCCTTACAGTGACCTCTACAAAAGTGAATTACCAAAGAAGAGAGGGAGAAGTATCTGATGGAGCAAGCATTATCTGACCTTTTCTGAATTTGGTTTGGGCAGTTTGTCTACCATCCACATACAGTCTTTTCATAGAAAGCCATTTACAATATATTGTTACTCCATAAGGGTCCACTCCTCTTTAAAAAAATAAACAACTCCATTTGGTCATCATACTTCTTAATGCTTTGATAGATCGGGTATGAGAATAGGAGAAGAAAAGAAAGGCACAAAAGTGCTAATAATTTCCATTCCATAATTTCCTCAGAAGTTGTTAACTTACTTGGGAGGCAGAGGCAACAGAATCACAAATTTGAGGCCAGCCTGTGCAAGATCCTGTCTCAATACGAAAGGAGTGGGAATATAGCTCAATCAGAAAGCAGTCTCCTCCCCTTAAAAGTTGCTAACTTTAGCTGTTTATACATTCATTATTTGAAAACCAAGTTATTACAGGCCTTTTTATTTCTTCGTGATACTGGGGATTGAACCCAGGGCCTTTCACTGAGTTGCATCTTTTAGCTCTCTGTTTTTGTTTAATTTTTTATTGAGACAATTTCTGGCTAAGTTGCTATGTTGCTTGAGATGGGCTTGAACTTGCAGTCTTCCTGCCTTAGCCTCCTAGCTTGCAGGAATAAGTGTGTGTTACCATGCCTGATTTACATTTTGTGATAGTAAAGCATCATTTACCATTTTGACTTTGTCTTTTCTAATTTGCATTTTCAAGTAACATTGTGACAATCTTATCACATGTAAATCATATTTCATATGCATTGACAAATGTATTAGTATTTCAAACTATGTCATCATGCTACTGAAATACTATGTATCATGAAATCAGTAAATAATATGTTACTTCTGGAGAACCTTTGAAAGTTATGCTTCTTCTAAGGAGATACTTTTCACTCTTAAATGGCAGTAATTAAAATGATTGATTGATTGTGTTCAGTGTTGGGTATTAAACCTGGGACCTGCACATTCTAGACAGTTATTCTACCACAGAACTACATCCTCCTTCCCAAAGAAACTAGTTTTAAAAATAATGATTAATAGTACTGATGTTGTGAAATATGCCAGTCTAACTCTTACAGATAGAATATAAATAAAATTGTTAGTATCTTTCAGCTGGGTCCTTTATATTTTTGTACCATGAATTATTAATATTTTACATTTTTTGATTATATAGTTGTATATCTAAGAGCATTTTCTAAGGAAAAATGAGATCAGGAAAATATTTATAAACAAGATGTTTATTGTACCATTGTTACAATAGTGAGAAGTTAGAAAATGTTTGTTGAAAACAGCATGAGCCTTAACAAATTCTTAAGTAAACAAATCAGCATATAAAGCCAGATTTAAGGCATGTTATATAGTGCATGATTATAATCACAGCTACTAAGAAGGTTGAGCAGAAGGATAGAAGTTTGAGACTAGTCTGGGCAACTTAATGAAACCTTGTCTTAAAACACAACCCAACCCAACACTCCAACACATCACAACAAAACAATCCCAAGGGTGGGGATGTAGCTTAGTGGTAGAATACTTGACTAGCATGCTCTGGGTTCACTCTTAGCACCAGCAAAACAACAACAAAAGAAAAACAAAATAAAACAAAAACCCACAAACCTAAAAAACTAGCTTCCTTATTAATTCCTTAGTAAAATATATATAGATCTAAGAAAACCTAGGATGAAATAGTCCAAAATGTTAATAGTGATCTCCATGTATGGGATTATGAGAGATTTCCTCTTTATATGTTTATGTGCTTGACATTTTTTCTGGAATTAATATTTACTGCTTTTATTATTAGTAGAAATTAATATAAAGTATTTCTTTAGCCTAAAATGCATTAGATTCGATTTTTAGAATTGAATAAACAATATGGGATACCAGATGAGATAAATAATATGAATTTCTCTCTTTACAAAGGCATAGAGATATACATTTAAAGCAATTTCTCTTACTATTAATGACTTTATGAAAATGAAAGTCCGAGTACTACATACTACAGTATATGACAAAAATTAATTATGCTGTGTACTTCGAGATACAAAGACGGATACTAAAAGAAAGCAAGCATGCTGCCATTTCTTCTAGAAAATTTTTTGTCATCTTCTTTACTAAGCTAAATTAGGTTCTCTTCTATCATTGTCATTACCATGATACATTGACATCATTTCCTTATCAGTTCATAGTGTCAGTTCATTATCCCTCTGCCAGAGAGGCTGATGCTTGAGGTGGTTTTTAAAGAATGATGAACCACATTTAGTTTAGTTGACTTTTAATAAAGTCCTTCATCCCTCTATAATGAGGAATAGATAAGGAACTATTGTACTGCAGTGGTTATTAATTTTAATTGAGATTATTTTTTCCAATGGATTTTGGTTATGAGTCAGTGAAATTAATAATATGCATTCATTTTCTAAAGGTAAAAATTTGGCTATAAAATGATAACACTGTGGGTGAAGAGGGAGGAAAATTTGAATTCACAGGGATGAGATAGATCATAGTGGGTGAATTTTTAAAAATATGTAACAAGTGGAATCAGTTTTGTTAAGGCTTACATTAGTTACACAATCAAAATGTTGCTGCATTTACTTGTGAGCAAGTTGGAAGAGCATACAGAGTAAGCACATGAAACTTTGTAAGAAGTAGTTAGGAAGTAGAAGTTGGGGGTGTGGTTCAGTGGTGGAGTGCTTATTTAGCATGCTCAAGGCCCTAAGTTCAGTGCTCAGCACGGCCAAAAATAAAAACAAAACACCTTAAATCTAACATGTACTTTCCATACCCAGCGTACTCACATATTATGTCCTTGAAATTTCATATAAGTTGATCTGATCTTTGATTTAACAAGCTAATTTTTTAAGGACAGTGGTTTTCAACCCAGAGGACATTCACCAATGTCTGGAGACATTCTCGTTTGTAACAGTTTGTTGGTGGTAGTGGTGCGGTCTACTGAGCTCTAGTGAGCTGAGGTTGGGGGTGCTGCTAAACATATTACAGCACACAAGTCAGTACTGCTCCCAGCCATAGTAAATAACAATGCATTAAGTAGCCCCAAATTGCATTAGTACTGGAGTTAAGAAACTTTACCTAGACTATGGTCAAGGTCCTAGGTCAGCCTGAGAAATTTTATTTAACTCATAACAACTTACAAACCATCACTAAGCTTAATGCTAACCATGTCATTTCACTGATCATTTACAATTACTTAGTCTTCTTAGAAAAGCACTTTTAAAATTTCAGTTTGGAATAGTGAGGTTACTTTTCTTATTAGGACACAGACAGTAGTAATTTCCATGATGTGGCAGAGATACAGATTTTAATGTGTTTTTCTGTTTTCCTTAGTATGTGTCAACCAGTTTTTAATAGTTTATAGAATAGGAAATGCCTGCTATTTAAGTATTGTATTTAGAATATTTTTATATCCTTTAAAACTTAAAAATATTTAACTCATCTATTTATTCTAGTATTTATTTAGAAATAAGCAGTAGTATAGTTAGTATTAAGATTTTTTTAGTATCTTGTAACTGGTTCATTTGATTTTATTAACAGGGTCAGGAGAAGGTTTGGGGAAAATAATCCAGAGATTTCCACAGAAGGACTGGGATGATACACCTTTTCCACAAGGTATTGAGTTGGTAAGTTGATACTGTATTACTGCTCTTTTATAATGATATTTTCTTTTTATATTATTTATGTTTATATTACATTTCCTCTTAAATAATTGATTTAACTGCAGTATATTACTAGAAATAATTGTTTTTCCTTCTGCTAGAACTCTAGATAAAGTAACCTTTGAATATATTGAGTTTGGAATGCCTGTTGTGCTGGGGGTTTTCCCATTTAAAATTCCCTCTAACATTAAAGATGAAATTTAGCGGGGGCCAGGGATATAATACAGTGGTACAAGCACCTGCCTAGCAAGCACAAGGTTGTGAGTTCAATCTCCAGTACTCCCCCTGCCCAGAAAAAAAAAACAAGATGAAATTTAGGATTTTATGATCCAGAACCAAAAATTCTGCTGATTGTTTAGTAAAAATCGTAACCTAACTAGCTTGAGGGAGTGTGTATCACTAAACAAACATTGATAGTATTTTTTGCTGAGAATTTCTAGGTTATTGTTTGAATGAAAATAAAATAGAAAACTAAACAAAAAAACCCCCAAGTTTGTTTAATGGTGGTCACAGTTTGATTTTGACATCACAAATCTGAATTTTTCTCTTTTCTGCTGCAAGCTCTATGAATCGCACCATTACTATGATGCAGTTTAACTCCTCCCATTCTGATCAGCCATTTTAAAGGAATTTAAATTGTTGAATGTAATTTATGAAATCCGGGACAGTCTTTCTGTTGGCAGATCCATTGTGGTGAAATAAAGGACTAAGAAGGTGCTCGGTGGAGTATATTTTTGTTGTATGACTCTAAAATTTGGTTCTTCAAATACATAGGATGAGGGTGTTACAAGTGTGTTTCTATATTGTATACACATACACATAAACAGTTTTTTTCAAAGTAGTTCTTTGAAAGAGCATTTGGTATAATGTCACAGAGTACAGGCTCTCTGGAGACAACTGTCTGGATCAAAATCTCAGTTACATGGTATATAACTTGACAAATACCTAAATTTTTTGAACAGCAGAGTCTTCATCTATAAAATAAGGATAGTAGCAGTAGTAATCTCATAGTGTTGTTGTAAAGAAAATGGAAAATAATGCACATAAAATGCATAGGGCAATATATTCATGTAGTAAGTGCTCAACAAATGAAGTAGATGGTTGTTTATTATTATTATTGCTCTTCGTTTAATGTCTTTCAGCCCTTTATTCAGAGGAAAAATTTTTCATTCTCTTGTTAGTATGGATCATTAGTATTAGGAATAAAACTGATGTTGAAGAGTGTAAATTTTCTTATCCTAGCTAATGACGGTCCTATTCTGCTTTACTGAGAATAAGAGAGACATTGCTGAGTACTTAAATTTGATTCTTAGAATCTAACCGTGTAAAGAATGTTGTGAGTTTGTGGGCCCATGGAGAGGGAAAATCTTGAATTTTAGCAGTAAAAATGGAGACTGTCAGGATCTAATGAGAAGTGGCTTTTTGGAGAGCCACTTACATTCCTTTCTTTTCTCCCCCATGTATCTTTACATATCAGTAATTAGCCTTATGATATGAGTAATTAGACATTTTTATTATAAGAACTTTTAAACTATTTTCAGTATTCCTCTTAGTGGTGGTCAAAAGGGGAAAGCTTTAGTGGTAGGGACCTATTACAAGTCTCTGGGTTTCTACTTTCCTTGACATCGAGTGTAAGGGAATATAATACTACATCAGTTGGACAGTATGAATAGTGAACCAGTTTCATAAGTTTCAAGAACACAGACGATATCAAAGCAAAGAGAAATAATGGACTGGCATAATCGTTTTACTAGAATTTAGACATTTTTCTGTTTTGAAAGACAAGTAAACTGATGCCTATGATGCCTTCAATGTTTTTCTAGTAGCAGAGGAGAGACATGGATTGATTTTTTTCATATATTGATTTTACTGTTTAATAAGTAAAATTTTTTTTTTTTGCATGACAGACACAGTCATGTTCAAGCATTGTTGGTGTCAAGTAACAGGTGAGGTGTGTACCACTGGATTAGTGAGACAGGTATCAAGAGGTAGACAACTTTTTCTCACCTAATACTTACCTAGATTACATCTTGGATGATTGTTAGAAGTTCAGAATTTGTGTTCTTGATTAATATTAAAGAATATATGATCTGTTGGATTGTTTGAAATTTTCTTTAAAGTTTTCCATAATTGATAGCAATTCTAATTACTTAATGGCTATTGTGCTTTGTCAAATATAAGATAAATTTCTTTCACATGCTAATTTTTGTTCTTTTAAAATTATTGTCCTATTCTTGCATGTATTAGAGATACGTAATTATTATGTATATAAACGTCAATAACTTGAGTAACAGACATATTATTTGATCTTGAGTAATTTCTATACCTTCACGACTAAAGATGGAAATAATAAAATTTTAGTCTAAATGAAGGTGATCTAGTTCAATCTCTAAGTGGTTTGTGGATTCCAGGACAGTAGTGACCCTTTTCTGATGATGTAGTAGAAAAAAATTATATCCTTTCCAAGTATTTAAAATTAAAGTTAGTACCTAACAGTTGTATGATGTTGATAGTTTATGATAAACTCTCATAAATTAGGTGATCGATGATAGTCACCTTCCAATGTTGGTATACTCTGGACTAATCCTTCCTTCACAATGGACCCTTGAGGGATATCCAAATTCTATTTAGTTGATAGCATTGAATAGAGACCTACTTTCCTTGCCTTATCTGAGGATACATATGCATCAGAAAATAATAGTAAATTGAAATTATTTTATATTGCCATCTTTTCACTCAGGGAACATGTGTTTGATGCACTTAAATTTTGAATGAAAGATCATTTGTTCAACCTGAACACTTAAGTTTCTAATTTGTGCAGAATGGTTTTAGGCATTCATTTACTAATCAAATCTCAAATTTAATTTTTAGAGGATACTGAATTTATTCTTTCCATTTTTACATAAAGCAAGTGTGTTCTTATTCTTCTGTTTAGAAATAGTGAACTTTAATTTGGTTATATTTTAAAAATAAAAATATGAAAATAAGCTAAACCAAACATAATGACTACTTTTCCAATTCTGGGATATTTCTGTCTTTTCCTTGTGCATTTTCAGCATACATGGAAACCACAGACAGTCATATAAATAAAGTTGCAGTTAATTTTAGTGACAGTGTTTCAAAGAAAATTAAAGAATTGTTTTCCACAGGTATTTATGGCTAGAAATCTATTTATTATTATGGGAACAAATGTTTTTATTGGTTAGGTCTTAGACATTAGCAAAATAGTGTTGTTTTGGTGCTAGCTCCTTTTTAAATTTTAGCCCATCCCAGAAGTGAATCTTTATATCATGATCAGAAAATACATAATAATACCAAGAATATAATATAATATGACCGCAGTGAGGCATTTGTTATCTCATTTTCTAAGTAAGCTACTATACTGTGATAAGTAAATTTTGTGCCTTGTAGAAGAGGAAGAAACATTGATAGAATTTCAAAATTTGAAGTTCTTTAGTTATTTATACACTAATGATTTTACGGTCTTTTCTATGAACCCCGTGTTCAATAAGTGTAGACTGTAGAGAAGTGGTGGGAGGGAAGCTTATAGTTAACATTCTGCAGATGAAAATAGAAGTAACTTCATTTTAAGATGCTGTTTGAAAGCAGAGGTGTAAGTATAAGTGCCACATAATACTTTAATTCTTTAAGCTATTTAGAGTGTGATAACTATAACAAGTAAGATACCCATATTCCATTGACCTATATGTAAATACTATTTGGTCAAGCAATTTAGTGTGGAATGGATAACAGAGAATTTTGTTTCCTCTTAGTAGAGAAATATGTGTAAAAGGAGGATGAGAAGGGTGGTGAACGTATTTTATGGCAGAATTCAAATACACAAAGATTCTAATAGTTTAGAGTAATGGACAACTTATCAAAAAGATGAAATGAAATAGATAAACATAAAAGTTAATACAGGTGACTGTAAAAAGACAGCTGTGTGTAAGTCACTATTTAAAATAAAAATAGGTTGATAATAGGCCAGCAAGCCATATTTGAGAAATATGAGAAAACAGATTAAAGTAAATCAAAGATACTTATGAAAAATATAGGTAGCATTTAAAACCTAGTGCTGTGGTAGGATGCTAGGTGATGAGTTTAGTGTTAAAGATGATTCAAATCTTGATATGAAGAATGTGTGAGAGGACATAACACTAAGACATAATTTTTTAAGATAGAGGATACAAAAAGGATTTTGAAAGTCATGTGTATAGCAAAGCAAAGCAAATGATATAGTAAGGTTAAAGTTAGAAAGTAGTGATTGTGCATAGGTCAACTTTAGTTTGCCACATTCAGACTGTTGTTTCTTGGGTAATACTGCATGACAAGGCACTTGATAGAATATAGAAGGTGCATTGGGAGAAGTAGATCGTTTGTCTGTCTCTCAGAAAGATAATAACCAATCTTTGTGATAAGCTTTTCATTCCTCCATGCTCACTGGAATGGTTTTCTTTCCTTCTACTAGGATTTCAGTTCAATTCTATTTAATGTGCATTTATACTCTCGGTTCTGCCAGAATCTTACTCCTAACTGTCTACTGATCTTAGAACCACCTTTAGATAAGACTTCCTTGCAATGTTGATTGAGGTTCTGCTATACTTGGTGGCAGAGGCCATGGAGAACTTCCAGGGGAAGATGGAGAACAACATAGGTCTCACCCACTATAAATCTATATTGTTTGCTAACAGCCTGGTTTTCATTCTCTAATGGAACCATATAACCATTTATTTCTTATACAATTTTGCATCATGTCATCCTATAACTTATACTGTACTTTTAAAATTCTAGTTCTTTTTCACTCCTATTCTTCCATTTCCACTAATATCATTTCCATTGTGTCCAAAGTCTAGGCTAAAAAAACTTTTTTAAAATCTTAGTTATTATAAAGTGTTTCAAATGATCCTTTTGTTATCTTTATTTATCTACAAGCTGGATGTGGTATAAACAATATGGGACTGGAA